CGGAAAGCTCTCTGAATACTCTGTCCTCCCACAGCCCCACAATCCAGTATGGCATGGTCCCTCCTCCCCACCCCCCACTTCTGGATGGAAGCCTGATGTCACTGCCTGGCTCTGCCCACTGTTTCCCAGTGGCCCCAAGAGATGCCCAGATGTTGGTGAGTGTTGCAGGCCGGGCCGAAGCAACCGGCACGGGGAGTCGGGGCCTCAAAGCACAGGAGTTATCAGAATAGTATTTATTGATATGCTCAGTGCTACCTTGTTAATACTTCGTCACGTGGCGCGTGGCTGAGGTAATAGGGGTGGGGCCAGTGGGGCCTGGACTCCCGTGGGAAGCAGTCCAGCCAGCAGCTGGGGACCCGGGAGGGGGATGTGGTTATTGCGTTGTATTCCTTCCCTCACTCGCACCCTGGCGCCTACGCCTGCTCTCACCCACTGCTCACACGTGGGTGCCGCTCGCACACTCACACATACTCAGGCTCACTCACACCACACTTGCCCCCCTACTTGTTCATGAGCTTGCTTGTGCACGGGCACCGTGCCCTCTGGCAAACTCAGTCACTCGGGCAGGTGCTTGTACCCACACCTGCTTACTTGGCACTTGTACACTGGCCTCTGGTTCTGCCGCTCACACACACCATCCTCTGCTTTAAATGCACCCTAATTCTCCTGATGATAGATAGGCTCCTCAGTTACAGTAATCATAGTAAAATAAAGTGTGTGTCAGGCTGCGAGGAGAAAGTGCGTGTTGACTTGGACCTGGGGCACAGCCCTCGGTTCCCCCACCTGCAGAGGCATCAGGTCCCTCTGCGGGGGGCCAGGCCCTTAAGTGAGTGACCCCTGGGGTCTGTCCTGAGGCTAGTGCCACCTTCCTCCGCATCCTGCTCACTAGGCTGGGCCCAACTGGGTGTGCTGAGTTGTCTCGGCCCACAACAAAACCCACTAAAAAAATAAAACTCTTCATCCTTCAGCCCAGCACACAGCGGGGGCCTGATGCCGGGGTGGGCACCCTACCCCACCTTGCGCTCTAGCCCCAGCCTGCACACGTGGATGCCATGGAGAGCCAGGTGGAAGGGGTGCTGGGCCCCGTGGCATGCAGACAGGAGGCTGAGGGGGTGTGGGCAGTACTGGGTGAGCAGAGTTCAGATCTACTCAAGGCTAGGCTCAGCTGGGCCATCCCTGGCTCATGCAGAGAGTTTTTGGTGGCCTGGGAGGTCCTGCCCCTCAAAACTCCACAGTACTCACAACCGTTCTCGGCTCCTCGAAGGTGGCGATGAGGATCTGCTGGGGTGGGGGGATGGTGAGGAGGTCACCCATGTCTGAGGGTGCACAGGGGCCTCCTTCCTCCTCTTCCCGGGTTTCATACAGCGTGCTGATGTGGAGCAGGGGGTGAGTGGCATTTCGGCTCAGGATGGTGAGGGGGTCGGCCTTGCCCAGACTGCCTGGTGACAGGGGGGCAGCAGCGGGGGCCGTGGGGGGTGAGCAGACGTGAAATGGGCCCCCGGATGGAAGCCCTGGCAGGGCAGGCTCTGTGGGGTATGGGATTTCCTTCTCGGGGAGCGGAGCATCTGAAAACAGGCAGGAACACAGGCATTTCACAATCCAGCTCACTCACCGCTACAGCCCTCCCAGTGTAACCCACGGGCACCCACTGGGCCCCCAGCTTCCACGGATGGCAGGCGCCCTTGCGTTTAGCGGCCTACCTGGCTGTCTCTGCTACCCAGGGATAGCAGCAGTGCTGCCTGCTGAATTTTTCCACCCCGTCGCTCACATCTGCCCGAAGCCCTTATTGACCAAAGGAGGTATGTTCCCTGGTGGCTGCACTCCTGCCTTCCTCCTCATCCTCTGCTTTTTCAGACTCCTATTAGGCCCGCAGCTCACCTTAGGAGCAACCCTACTGTTGGCCCTGTTGTGACCAAGCTAGCTAGCCTGCCTGCCACCTCATCTACATTGTTCTCCGTGTCTCCTCTCTTCGTGCCTTAGACACGGGACTGCCAATTTCCTGCTCAGGGCTCCCTGGGAATCTACATTCTGACCCCGCCCCCCACCTGCTTGGCTCCCTACCTTTGGTGGGTGCTGCAGCCAGGCCCAGCCCACATTCCTCTGTCTGGGACAGGAAGCCACCTTCCTGGCTCCGCGAGGCTGGTAGGGCAGGGGGCACTGCCTCAGTCTTGGCCTTCTTGGTACCTAGGATGTAGGGATGTACGTCCAAAGAGAAGTGCCGGGTGTGCTTTTTCTCAGAGGCAGCGGGAGGGGCAGGGGAGGGGCCTGAATCTCCTCCACTACCCTTGTAGTGGTGGGCAGCCCGGGCCCCAGCGTCCAGCAGGGGGGCAATGAGCGTGTCTGTGGCCGTCTTCCTGCGCACGGGCTTGGGCTTCTCCGTCTTGCTGTTCTCCACACGCATAATGGCCAGCTGCTCCTTGAAGGGCTGTGGCAGCGGGTTGCTGGTGGGGATCCACTTCATCTTCTTCCGGGGCCGCTTGACCACGGGTGGCTCGGCAGAGCCGTCGGGCTCGGCGGGGTTGATGCTGGGGTCCACCGTCTGGATGCCCGAGTCCCGCACGGTGGGCGTGGTGTCGTGGTTAGACTGAGCCAAGGCCGCCAGAAGCTGCCGCACCACGTTGTCGTACATGAGGTCGCTCTCGTTGGTGATGAAGTCCAGCCGGTTGAGCGACTTGATGTGGTCGCGGTTCTCGTTGCAGAACATGGCCAGGATGTTGATGTCGCAGAACTGGGAGCGGCGCCACTGCCGGCGCGTCTTGATGCCCACCTTGTGCAGTTTGTCAAAGATGAAGTTGCTCTTGCGGAAGATGAAGAGGTGGATGAGGTTGACCAGGATGATGAGGTTCATGAAGCAGAGGAGTACGATGTCCACACCTGCAATGATCCGCTGCAGCTGCACCGAAGGCAGCTTGCAGCTGACGCGCACCACGGGCCCAGCGCCACCCACAGGCCCATCCGGAGAGGCGCCCAGGGCACAGGTGAACTCGTTCTGCTTCTGGGTGGCATAGTATGTGCATAGGTAGGAGATGGGCACCACGCTGAGCAGCAGGATCAGTACGTGCCGCGCCAAGTAGAGCTTGGCCAAGAAGTTGCTGCGACCTCTGCGCTCCAGGTACTTCTCGAACAGATTCTGTTCGGGGCTCTTCTCCTTCTCAGCGTTTTCGATGATCTCCCGCTTCTCGCGCTCCGTGATGCCTGGCCCCTTGGACTGGATCTGCTTCTCGATCTTAGGGGCACGGCCCTCCGCTGCTCTGTGGTAGCAATTGTCAATCTCCTGCAGCAGGAAGTTGAGCTCGGAGGTGAGGCGCGTGGAGGCTAGAAACTCCCAGCCCAGTGCGGGCACGTACATGATGGCAGCAAAGGCCAGCAGTGCGTAGGGTAGGAACTTGTGCTCAAACAGCGATGGCCAAAGGCTGGCATCCACGCCGGGCAGCGCATCCCGCAGCTCTGTCCAGCAGTAGCCACGGGCGTACAGCGCCTGGTCACGGGTGAAGTTGTGCGGAGTGTAACAGTAAATTGGTTCCTCTGAGGGTAGAGAGGAGACACGGGCTAGGGCAAGAGGTGGGACTGGCCTGAGGAAGAATGGGTCTTGGGATGGACCTGATCCTGTCTCTTGTCCAGACCCCTCCCCTGTGCAGGTGGCTGGGCTCTCACGTCCATGAACTCTACAGCCCCTCCCATAGAGCCGCCTGCTTTACACAGGGGCTGCTGCTCCTCAAATGGGCCCTTCTCTTCTCAGGCCAGTTTTCCCTCATGTCCTAACTACAGTGCTGTGTGTGTGGTTCCCACTTACAGAGTGGCTGGCCAGGGGGTAACACCTGCTTGTGTGAACTGAAGAAATGACCTATACTAATAACTAGTCCTATGCTATACTTTCTAGACCTATACTAATACATAGTAGTATGTATTAGTATACTATGTATTAGTGTAGGTCTAGAAAGGCCATAAAGACCGTATGTACAGTACAAACCAAGGTCTGGAGGGGATCAAGACAGACCATGCTGACAGCCAGCGTTCCTCTTTCAGCATCCCACATGGACAAAATACCAGTTCCTGCACTGCCAGGATTGGTGGCCTGGATGTTCCTACCTAGCCAGAGGCAGTCACAGAGGCCCAAATTCAAAGAAAAATCTGCCTGTGACAGGTGAGAGGGGCCTCTCAAGTCCCACTGTCCTGGAGGAAGAGAAACGTGGGAATCCTGGATGCTGGTGTTGGGGAATGATCAGTGGACAGGTCTGCCACTGAAAGTGAACAAAGGGCACTTGCTCACGTGGACACACATCCCGAAGCAAAGGATGTCACACATGCCTGCATCGGGCCACACTCAGCCATGTGCTGCCATCTTAAGCTTTTAATTTGTTTTCAGAAAACTTGGAGGCTCAAAGCCCCCAGACTGGGACATGATTCCTAGGTACAAAGCCATGGTTACCTGTGGCATTAATCCAAGCCAGTTCCTCCTTTGCCATCCCTCTTACCCTCAAGAGTGGCTCTAGGGTAGGTCAACTAGAAGCCTTCCCTGCTCCAGCTCAAAGCTCTTCACCACAGTCTTGAGACCGGTTGTCTGTCTGAACCTAGCCTCAAGTTAATGTAGACAGGGAAATGGCAGAGACCCAGGCTAGATGGAAGAGTCTGAATATGAAATTTCCCCTACAGGCTCACGTGTTTGAGCATTTGGGCCCCAGCTGGCAGCACTGTTTTGGTAGGTTGTGGAATCTTTGGGAGGTGGGGTCTAGCTAGAAGCATGGGATGGGTGGGCAGGTGGGTTACATACCCTGTGTACCAGCCACTCCAGAGCTCTTACCACGGAAGGAGCCACTTTAGCCATATGCCCTCTCCCCATGTTGGAATGTGTCCCCTGAGATTGTGAAACAGAACAAATCCTTCCTCCCTTAGGTTGTTTCTGCTACAGCAATGAGAAAAGTGACCATCACAGACATTAATCACAGTTGATGCTTTCCGGGGCCCAGGAAGCAGGGGATAGAAAT